CGAGGCCCCTACGAGCGTTCTGGTTCTGGGTGGCGACCGTGCCTCAAAAATGCACATGTTCACCAAAAAGGATTCAAGGTTCGCTAGTAGCAACAAGTGCCTTACTAAGCTATTAGAAACAAGTGCATCGCTACTAGTAACAAGTGCCTTACTAGTAGTAACAAAAAGCTTTTAGAATTAAACTAAAGTTAAATCAACTAGTAGCTTCTTGTTACTACTAGTAAGGCACTTGTTACTAGTAGCGGTGCACTTGTTTCTACTAGCTTCTTGTTACTACTAGTAAGGCACTTGTTACTAGTGGCGATGCACTTGTTTCTAATGGCTTCTTGTTACTACTAGAAAGGCACTTCTTACTAGTAGCGATGCACTTGTTTCTAATAGCTTCTTGTTACTACTAGTAAGGCACTTGTTACTAGTGGCGATGCACTTGTTTCTAATGGTTTCTTGTTACTACTAGAAAGGCACTTCTTACTAGTAGCGATGCACTTGTTTCTAATAGCTTCTTGTCACTACTAGTAAGGCACTTGTTACTAGTAGCGATGCACTTGTTTCTAGGTTAATGTCAAGCCAAGTACATGCGCTTTCAAGACTAATTGTAGGTGGCCATGCGTTGTCTTTGAACCTGAACCAAACCTTGTCCACCTCTAGTTTCGGTCAATCAAAGAAGGCTGGTCAACAGACCTGGCTACATCCAGCTGGACCAGCTGGAGCTGCTGCAGTGGCTGCCTGCATTGAAAGAACACACAGTAAACTGAACTGAAAGTGACTGACATGAGTCGATCCTGTCTCCAGACCATCATGGGTGATGTCCGACCTGCACCGTCATTGAATAGCAGGGCAATTACTTCAGTCTAAGTTTGTCTTCCAACAAGAATAGGATGAGAACAAGTAGCTACTGGTGGTGCAATTGTCCTCGTCCTTCTTGTTTCTGATGCAGCCCGCCGTGATTGTGCCACACCTGGACCCAGAGTAGGCGAAGGAGATCGGGACACCTGAACCACCGGCCTCAGCAAAACTCACCTCCAAGAACTTCCTATGACAATTACTTGTGAGGCCAATGCCGGCTGGGCAGAATGCTGCGAAAATGTCCTGTCTCGCGAATGCAACTTTGACCATGCCGGAGTCATATATTGCGCAGGGAACGTGAAAAATGTTTCCCTTTGCGCCATTCCTCCATGAGGTGACGCCGGCGCAGGACTGCCTCACTGTCACAATATGCCATAATATGCCATGAGGAGCACAAAGCAGAAGTAATGTAGACAAGACACGGTCAATCTACCAGTGATGGCAAGGTCAAATTAAACCCAGGCTTCCCGAAATTGCCTCGATTGGCCAATGGGCTGTATGCTCGTGCCTGGGAGACTATGACTAGGCCGTGCTACAACTTTGGCAGACTAGGCTACGCAACAGCTTCCATATGTGAAGCCAGTGCCTGTGGAAGGATCGTCACTGACATGCCACCTCAATTCCAAGTGTGAAACCGCCGGGCTGACCTAGGATTCAATTCCCCACGTTCTGAATACATTTTATATAAGGACGCTACTAGGGTGGGGAGGTGTGCCTATAAAACAAACAGGCGACGTTTTGTGAGGGTCCCGGAAGCACATTTTGTATCACCGTGAGTCAGATCTATTTGCAGCAATAGGCCGAAGGCAGCAGTTGAAGCTAGCAGCTATGTCAATTATATCAAGCCACAAACAACTCTTCACAGGTCGTGCACTGTCAAACATGAGGGGTAATCCACAATGGGGCAGTTATGGACGATTAAATATCTTCCAGGAGGGGAGAAGGCATCTCAAACGATAGATGTGAACTAATCAACTGATCCATTCCGTGCAATTCAAAGGAAGCAAAGACTCTCTGCACCCATCTGAGTCCTTGACCAACAGGAACCTCAGATTCAGCAAAGCAAGAGGGTTGCTTGTCCAAAAGGCAATCGAACAGCGCTAAGCCCCAACCGGAGTTCGCATCCGAGGGTCGGCATAGGCTCCCTGATCATAGAGAGGCTTGTCAAAAAGTGATGTGAGACGTGGAGAAGGTAGACTCCGGTCGGTCATCTACACAATGCTCTGTGGGTACCTGATGTCAAAAAACTAACGCAGAAGGAATTTGACCAGCTCTTGCGTTGGTTCCGGAACTGGTTCCGGACTTCTTTGATCTTATTCGGTTTATTCAATAATTTAGTTTTTTAGATTCCATGCAACAACTTGGACAAACACGGCCTGGCCCAAGTCAGACGTTGATTTTGTGTGGCGAGCATAAAGCCTCAATTGCAATGCTCTAATCAAATGTCAGACTACCTCTCTCATGAAACTGTTCGTAGTAGGTGCACTGGTCCTTGCGTAGTGCTTATGTGTGCCCCCGAAGGGCTTGGCGGGGCTTTGCGTCATTGCGCAGAAAGGTGGCTAACCAGGCCGCCAAGCAGTGCGTTGGCATTAGGAAAACCCTTACACGTCCCAAGGGGGTTGACGCAACTCCCGAACATTCCTTGGATGTCCTTTGGCTGCCTTGACCGCCCCTATCATTCCTTCGGTTGTCGAATCCAAGAGTGAGTTTGCCATAGTGTGCATAAGTTATTATACATTGCTGAGATTTGGGGGGGGAAGTCGTCCAAGTGTGCTTCTCTCCCTTTGATGCTACCTGCTGTTTGGATGGAATCGCTTTCGTGCAGCCCTGACGGTTGCGTCTAAACTCTACTGGAACTGATTCTGGTTGGTTCAAAGCTGGGGGCGCGGCTTGGGGGAAGGTATGGGCTGAACTTCCTGGCAGTCTGAATTTGTGGAAGCAAAGGACCAGCTTCGTCATTACATGTGTGCGTCACATGTCTGGATCACCCCTCGCGATGTCATCAATGGACCTCAGGTGTGTCCGAATAGCGGGGGATCGAATCTTTGGCATGTGTCTTCAGCAACAGTTATGTGCCTCGAATCTCCTCATACTTAGCTGGTTGACTCCTTCCTGATCCAAAATCCAAGATTTCTACTTGGCGAAACGCCACATAGTTGCCGCCCTGGGGAGAGCAGGGGGGGACGGCGGCAGCGCATGGCCTTGGCATGAAGCAACAGAACGGCCAGCAACAAGCAACGGAAAGTCCTGAGTTTAGCCGTCTCGCTTTCACAATGTTTGCTCCTTAAAGCAGTTTTCCACCAAGACCTCTGCTAGCCATCCCTCCAGTCTGCAAGTCAGGTGCTTGAATCAAATGGCAGCAGCAATTGGCAAAGACCACAACTGTCAGAATCTACATCGATGGGACATAGCCCTGCTTTGGCCTCCGGAGGAAGGCTGATATCAACATTATGGGAGTGTGTGCCGACCCGAACACTGTGGCTGTTTCAGTTCAAGCACAAAAGCGAAAGCGCAAAGGAGCAAATTTCAGCAAGCTGGGCCCCGACTTGATCGGCCAGCTGCTGCATATCTTCACCTTCGGAGAGTACCTGAAAAAAAATGTCTGTGCAGAAATCCACAGTTGCTTCAATTCAAACGTTGGGGCAAAAGCGTGTTTCATAGAAGCATTCGAGCACGTGCCTCTACTTGGTCAGCGACATTGTCTTGGGGGGGAGGACACACGGTTCACTTCGCACGGAGCTTTCACTCTTTCACTCTCCGAAAGGGAAAGCGTCTGTGGAGAACAAACGGGTCAGCACAACAACAAGCGCTTGTCGCTGTCCAGCTGTTGCTGCCATCACACCAGATTTGCCCGATGTCAAGAAGCAATGGAATCAGCGAATTATTTCTACACATGTTGAACCAGTTGAGCATCGGCAAACTGCGTTCAATCACAGTCTTACCACGGACAAACGAACAAGCCTCAGACCATTATGACCTTGGCACATGAAACTCCTTTCCAGTGTGCAAACCCTGTAAACCATTTAACCTTGAAAGAGCATCTTCTCAGCATGACTCGATGTCCCTTTCTTTGAGCAAATCCGCATGTTGTATTCGTAAGGCCCTGGCAGCGTATCGCTGTGGAGGAGACTCCCGTCGAGGCCATGGACCTTGAGGCAGCCATCCTGAAGGCAGCTACGCGGCAGCTACTCTTTTGAACAAATCAAGCAAGTCACACCCATACTTGCAATTGCAATTGCCCGTGCGGGGTAAATCAAGAACACAAGGAACATTTTTTCTGGGTGCTCGCGAATCATCTCTGAAGTCGTGTGCAAGAGGGCCATAAAGGGCTTCGTGGAGCATACCAATTGACCCATCTGTCCTCAGAGACTGTGGCAAAAGCACCACCAGCCCCAATCCTGGTCACAGCCGGTCTTAGAGGCACGTATCGGTCGTATCCGTATACAATGCTGACTTGCACATATTGTCACTAGGAGCACAGAGAGCCACAGCAACAGTCTTCTTTCTTCGGAATTGCTTTAATGTCCTTTAGACTTTTACACCATCATTTGAGCTGTCTTGAGGGTTGAGCCTTCAGGTAAACGTTTGGCTCTACTATATAGTACTATAGGCGCCGTCAAAACATGAACAAAAGCAAGCGCAGGTGCTCAGCCTGGGGTCGGCAACTCCCACATTGAAGGGACTTTCCACGCAAATGATATCTACAAAGTGTATTTCGTATAGATCTAAAGAATCGAGCCTGGAAGGAAGAAAGCAAAGCTACAAACAACCTGCGTCACATTTTCTGTACTGAATAAACACGGCTCATTGTAGATGCGGAGCCCCGGAACTTGGAGCTTTCCAAGTGGGTAGCTTCCCACATAAACAGGTGAGGTTTCTGCCAGGGCAGGTGGTTTAGTGACCTTCGTAGCCAAGCGAAGAAGGAGACTTGGATGGATAATGATAGGGATATTGGCAGGCCTATAAGGAGCCCCAAAGTAGCGTCCTTGCTCCTAGTAGTAAGGCCAGGAGCCCCTAGTAGCCAACAAAATATGTAGGCCTACAGTGATATTATTGCACCTTTGGACCTGAACCTAGTGATATATTCGCAGTGAAGACGCTAGTGATAACAGTATATATAAACAAACTAAGTCGCTCAAAATGCAGAAACATCTTCAACTATCAAACCAATGGCACCTTGGCAAAGACAGGAGGCCATGCACAGGGCCAAAATGACCAATGCCAGCCTGAACTACTCTGCTACTTTGCCCTTCAATTCCCCGCAAAAGTTGATGCTAATGTGTCTTCCATCCAATCAAGGATCCAACGTTGGAGGCCATCGCTATTAGGTTGGAGGCCATCGCTAGTAGGTTGGAGGCCATCGTTGGTGCGCTTTAGACGTGCTGGAGGACTGGGACACTGACGCAACAAGCATGAACAGGCCCTACGTGAGTACATATTTGTTCATGTGCTTGAAAAGAATGAAAAACTAAGGTCTCGTCGGCCAAAATCTGTCCGGAGGGGTCAATCACCTACAAATGAAACTGTTCAAATCGCACTTTGCAATCAAACTCTTCTTGGCCTTCGCTTCAAACTCATCATCTTGCATATCTTTGGCACGGGTCACATCGCGAGCGTCCTACTTCCAGTTGTGTATTCGTTGTGCTTGCGAAGCTTGGACGGCATGTGTCCAACGGCATGTGTGTCGAGTTCCAGCACGTCTTGGAAGTCCCACACTCTCCATCAGTCCTTGCCACCCGCAAGCACCACCGCCCCACTTTTCTGGGCTACAAAGTCCTCCGTCACCTCAAAGCAGAACCAAACAGAATACTGTACAGGATAGTAGATAGCCAGTATAGTATATTATATTGGTGATTGGTGAGGCAAGATTCCAACTCTGCTGAGCCCGATGCTGCCACAGCATTCAGCGGGCGATTCAACTGGAGAACGTTTTAAAGCAATGAAAGCTTCAAAAATGACCATGAGACTTGCTACAAGCAGGCCCACTGAAGGGTGAGATCGAAATTTGCACCCCGGATGTTCTTGTTTGTTCAGCTATGAGTTCCTTGCCTCAAATGTCGCAAGTGTTTCTGTAGCAGCCTGTGAAACATCTACCTCAGTGCAGAAACTTGGAAATACGAATTGCTCAATCTCAAGCCCTGAACAGGAATCCAAAGAGAAATGAAACTCTGAAGACTGAAGAGTTTCAAATCTTGACCATTTCTTGCAAGAAGATCGCGCTGTCACACCAGGGCCAGTGCAGCTTTGGAGGTTTTGTCATGTGATGCTGTCACCTGGCCAGTTGAGGCCAGCTGGTGTGTCTTGGTTTGGCGAAACCATGCCAGGACGGCCAGTGTTGATGCATCAGAGGTAAGCGTCAGCGCAGATATTGCGGCATTGTGCAGCTTGATGGTCTTCATCAATGACCCTGTGAAAGCTTTTGGAAAAAGGCTGTCCAAGGCTCGAGACACGAGGAAATTAAATGATGAATGCACTACGTGGAATGTTGTTCATTGTGCAAACCCTGAAGCACGCTACCAACGGAACTATTGAAAGCGAAACTGGAACTGCCTGGACCCTCCACTGACCAAACGCCGACATAACCTCACAGTGAAAAGGATGCACTGCCATTTTGAGTGCCCGAGATCTGCTGGGAACTCCGTACCATTGTCATGTGCGGAGAAAAGTTTCCTAAGAAGCAAGCGAAGTGCAAATGTGTATTTCAGGAGGAAGGGGGGTGCAGATTATCCAAAATGAGGCGAAGACAGCTTTCCACCTCCACCCCACTGCAAATCGTTGGCTTTGCCGGGCAAATCCTTCGCCAGGGCTCTAATTCCAGCAAAAGTCATGCGTTTTACCATATCACTCAAGCAACATGACCGTCATAATTAACAATGGTGTGCGCTGTCAAGGACCTTGAGTTTTAGACCCTCGGGGGTTCCATGGAAGTGGCACAAAACGTGGGGGTTTCACAGGGCTTTGGACATAGTCTTGCCGAGCATAGGTCCAAAAATACTGTAAAGCCCATGTCCAAAGTCCAAAGTTCCATAAAAAAACTAGCGGAACCAAACAATGAAAATGCTCAAACAGGGTTGCGCTTCGTCTTCAGCAGTTTGGCTTCCGACTGGCATCCCACGTCAGCCCACAAGTTCACAGCCACAACGCGATGCATGAATTGAACAATTTCGTGTGGCGTGCAGGCTCTTGCTGTGTCTTGAGCAGTTCGGGATTTTTCAGGCGCTCCAGGAGCGATGTTTCACATGTACAACTGACGCATGGTTGCATCTACTAGGGGCTCCTGGCATCGCTACTAGGAGCAAGGACGCTACGAACGGGGCTCGTTTCAGGGTCAAGTCATGCCGTCCAAAATCTTGAAGTAGATGCTCCGCGAGAGCCACGGGCTGACACGCATGGCGACTATAAAGTGAAATCTTGCTGGGAGAACGATCCGAAAGTGAGCACAGCCATTGCCCAGTAGAAATGGAACAACTTTAGTGTGAAGTGTCACAGCTGCCAACTTTGGGGAGAAGTGGGGTGTCTTGTTCCGATGCTCAGGGTACCCGCACCACATGTAGCGCGGTCAGTAAACAGAACCTCCTCACAAACGGTCCAAACCGCCCCGGGATCAAGGCGGGCACACCATTGCACCAGTCTCCATGGGGTTCTCTGTGCAAACCATCCGCTCAGCTCCATGGCTTGAAGTCCAGTACCTTCTTGTTACTAGTAGCGATGCCAGGAGCCCCGTTCGTGGCGTCCTTGCTCCTAGTAGCGATGCCCTTTGTTCCTAGTAGCTTCTTGTTGCAACGATTTCGGTCACTCCAGTCGCTCTCCTCTTGGTCCTCGCCTCTCTCTCTCTCTCTCTCTGCACACAAGCCAAAATGCGCCATATATGTGCACAGACGGCTCGACAAGACGTCACTCAGCGTGAGCTCAACCCCCGCTGGCGTGCAGCATCGCACAAGCACCGAAGGACGAAACCCCGGATGCTCCGACAATACCATTTGCCAGGTGCTTACAATCTCGGGCGCGTCGTCACAAAGCCTTGCATCCTCATTGACTCATGACCCCAACAGAATCCAACAACTTAAAAAAGAAATACGCCACCCGAGCTTCAAAGACACGAGCACCTCTTCCTATACTTGAAGCAAGAACCCCAATAGCTCTCCCTATCTGGGGAAAAAGAAATTGCGCTTGCAGGTCAAAGCACTTCCTGCAGACTATCCAGCAACCATGGATCACACTACCAGAAAATGCTTGAAAGATTTCCTGGCACGGGCAACGTGAGCAAGCCGCAGCAGCAAGAGCCGTGTCAAACCAAGAGCAAGGTTGACTTGGAGCTCTTGAGTCGACTCTTGAGTGTACCTCAAGTGAGTTCCAACACTCAGCACCATGTACATCCATCACACAGGCACCGAGTTGTCTCACAAAAGAGTGCTCCGTTGCGTTCCCCGTCGACAGGGGTTTTGTCTACAGTTCAATCTAAATGTTGAAGCAAGTAAATTCTTCGCTATTGGGTTCATAGAACAACATGTGTTGTTAACTTGTAAAAATAATGCCTGTCGAGAATACACATGAACCGTCCACAACACATGAAAAAGATGTGAAAGTGAACAGAAGATGGAACCCCCAGAGACAACCCACACATGACAGACATGAACAGTCAACAGTCAAGATAGCATTGAAATCCAAAGTAGAGGCCAACCGCTGAAAGCCACAGCCCCACCCTTCCCCCCGCTAAGTCTATCCAACACTTCCAATGCCGGAGGCTGTGACCACAACAAAGGTAATTTTCGCGGTGACTCATAGACGCATACAGTCCGTCAACAAGCGTAGTGCAAATGAATGCCACTTTGGACAGTACTATACATGTGCCGGCGTACGACACATGCATTGTGTACCCATAGAATCACATCAACGACATCTTATATATATATATAGTTTCGGCCTTGATCTCAAGCAACTGCTTGGTCTCTCCAGCTGGGCTGGCATGCCAAACCGCAATGACTGCAGGCTTGGACCTCACACATCTGAAGGGATAATGTGCACTGTCGTGTCACAACTAAACTTCGCTAACTTCGCTTGCTCTAAGACTTGCCTTGCAAAGACTTGCTACAAGGTCTGAATCAAAGTTCCCAACAACGCAACAAAGTTCCCAACCCCAGCTTTTCAGATGCGCTAGCGAAGCGCCGTCCAGAGGAGCCCTGCCGACCCACAACTAGACACAAAGTGAGGAGATTGGTGATTCGCTGTGAACCCCTGCCTCATCAAAAGGGCACCATCTCAGCACCCTCCGAAAATGCAAAGTGTTGCATTGGCACTAATCCAAGGCTTTGCATTTTGCTCATATCAATCCCCCAACACATCTCAAAAAGGCTTTGCCAGGGCTTTGCTCTCGCCTCACACGACCTCCATGCTCCAAGGTATTCTTGGGTGAGGTTACAGTCAGCGGTGTCAAACGTGTAGGGTCTCCCTGCCCACAGCACCACCAGGGACTTTGAATCCAGTGATTGTGTAGAATACAAAAAAGAAGAACAACAACAACAACAACAAACACGGTGTTGTCAACACTGTTTCCGGAACACCCACAAACAATCAAAAACGAACAATGTTCACAGGTTAAAATATTGGCACCGCTTTTTGCATCATAAACCATAAACCTTGGCTCGGCCTCCCAAAATTTCACCTGGCCATCAGCAGAGCCACTGATCAGCAAAGGTGGAGCCTGGTAGCTGGCCCAACTTGAATCCCTCAAGTCAAGCCGAGATGAGTGCAATTGGAGCCCGGCCGAAGTGACGTCCAGTGTGAACACAGCACCAGTGTGCCCTGTCACATTGACAAGAAAAAACAACAAACGTAGGCTAGGAACTGCGCTGGCGATGCCTGCGAAGGTGTACAGAGCCTTCAATAACTTCTCTTCCAGCGACCAGCAAATTAAATTGCCATCCTTGGCACATTTTTGTCACAGAACTGAATTTCATGTGTGCACCAAGTTCAATGACCTTTGAGCAGGTGAAGAGATACCTCAATTCCACTATTTTGGAGATGCAGACCGCTGTCCTTTGGGAATTGCTCAAATGCCAACTGTGAGTGATTGTCGAGAAGATTCATTCCATATCCCCTCCCTCTCAGCACCGGGCCTACTGTCTGCTGATACGCAAACGCTAAGGATTGGCCTATCCTCAAAGTCTAAAAGGAAAAAAAAATCTCCGGACACTCTACAATGGTAGAATGGAAAGGCAGCTTGGGCTGCTACATGGCGACACATGAAAACTGGAGCTCGACGTTCTTCCTCCTTGGAGATCACAATGATCAACGAAATGTTCCAACAACTTCGGACATGTACTGCTTGTCTTTGCAAATCTCCCAGGCAGTCCTGCTTCTTCTCCCGGTTTTGTCTTCGCTCTTGCTCCTCCACAATGCTTTCGTGCATTGAGACAGAAAAGCTGTCAGATCTGAAAGGCTTCAAGAAAGCTTTCGAGCGTATAAAAGCCTTCCGAAAGCACATCACCCGGACTTTCGAACTTTTCAGGCCTGTTGCCTCCTCTGCTCGATTCCTTTCACAGTCTTAGCCGGAAGGAGCGCTGTAATGTCCTGTCAAAGCGCTTCAACAAAACTAAAAAACACAAAGCGTTCTGCTGTGTTTTTGGAGGTAGGCCATAACTGCTAGGCCAGATTCCGGACCTGAGTCTTTTCAAGGACATCGGAATCACCCGGAAGCTTTCCTGCCAACTTTGTCACCTGCAATTGGCAATAGCAGCCCGTTGAAAACAGTGACAGACCGACGGTCGTTGTCCCGGCCTCCTGCAGGAGAGAATCCTTGGAGTCAACCTTGTCCTGCTGATTCCTGCAAGCCCGCAGATTGAAACTGTATCCACCGCTTCCAGCTGATCTGCTTGCTGGTGTGCTTGCTGACGAGCTTCTGTGCCAGGCTTTCACCACCTTTCACTTTCTCCTGCTGAACTTTATTTTGATAAACAGTACGCATGGGCTCACGGGGAGCTCGCAGCTAGTGATACCAATCTGTGCGCCTCCAATTTGAGGATCTCTCGCAGTTTCTTCGCCTCAGAATGCCAAAGATCTGAAGGTTGAAACTCCAAACTGCTACGATGAAGACCTACTAACCCGCCAGAGAGTGGGCAATCATAAAGAATGAGTATGTGTCCAAGCATCCAAAGTTACAACACAACCCCCCTGGCCCATTGCAGTTTGTGTCACTAGTCTCACCGAAGACATCATCTTCGCGGCAAAAAAACAAAAGGTCGCCGGCAACCCACCCGCCCAACTGGGCCCACATGCATATAACATCATGTTATGCATGTAATTATTATGTGCAGTAGATGTATATATATATATATACACACACACTTGTGATTAGTCATGTTCCTACAAGTACCAACTCCAGAAGTTGCTGATGCAGTTTGGTTGGCAAATCGCTTGCCGTGGTGTATAACTTGCGGTTGCTGACTCAGGTGTTGCTGACTCCTACTCACCGTCAGTGTGCGTGTGCGAGCTCGGGCTTCTCTCAACTGAGCCAAGTTGCCAATTTCAAATATTCCTTTTCATCTTCAGCAAATGCAGATTGCCTCTGGTACCTCAGCTTCCACACAGAAAGCTTACCCATGGACACTATTCAATCCGCAGTTGTGCATTTGCCCGGGCAACGGGCGTGGACTCTGCCCGCCAGCTCATTGGAGGACCCCTCCAGCGCTGATGAACAGCCCCGGCCCGCTCCGGCCCGCCCCGGCCCTTAACTAGCAAGATAGTTTTGTCGATGCAGCATGCGAACGAAAATGCTTTATCGTTGGTGGGCGCAGTATAGTATTAGGTCAAGGTCTAAGCCTTTTAGTGGAAAGGGGTAGTTGGAGAGATGGTAGTGGAAAACACCTGCACCAATTCCACTTGTCTCATGGTCTGGCGAGAACGAGCGATGGTGGATCTGTGTCATAGTGTCGTAGAGGAAGGGATAAAGAGAAGCTAGCAAGAAGCCTTAGGGGCTCCTGGCCTTACTAGCAAGGAACTAGGGGCTCCTGGCCTTACTACTAGGAGAAAGGACGCTACTAGGGGCTCCTGGCCTCGCTACTAGGAGCAAGGACGCTTGCACCATCAACCTGTTGCATCCTGTCACGGGGTTAGGGTGGGGAACTTGGGTCTATACCGGTGACAAGTGCCTCTCCAAGGCTAGTGATGTGGGTGGACAATGTTGTCTATGTGGCACTTCTGTCCCTCCCGCTCGCCTTCAGAATGAAGGCCTCAAACTCAATGTGTGCCTTGGTACTTCCCTTGTATACAGCGGCAAATAGCTACTAGTAGCTATTTGCTCCTAGTAGTAATGCCCTTGTTACTAGTAGCGATGCCGCAATGCCCATGTTAGCTTCTTGTTGGTATGATGTCAAGGCAAGTTCTCAAGCTTTTCAGGGTTTGGCAAATGACGTGCAAGAACTGAGGATCAAGCTCTCCATGAAGTGGGTGCACACCGTGGGTTGCAACAACCACACTTTGAGGGCAAATGCAGCGAGCACATCACGCGACAGTATACATCTCAGAGCCCAACACAAGTCACTCTAGTCACTAGTGAGCCTTGCTTCACAGTACATTGCAAGCTTGCAGGGCACCGGAACATGGACACCTTCAGACTGCGCCATGGCACACATGCAATCTGAGCTGAGATATTACTAGTAGTAACAAGTGCCTCGCTAGTAGTAACAGGTGCCTTACTAGTAGTAACAAGAAGCTACTAGGAACAAGTGCATCGCTAGTAGCAACAGGTGCCTTACTAGTAGTAACAAAAAGCTATTAGAATTGAAGCAATTCAACCTTTCCCCTGTGTGTGTGTGCGTCTGTGTGTGTTTTTTTTGTGTCGGACGCCCTTTGCAGGACTGTGGCAACGAGGGACAGGTATATAATGATCTCTGAATCTTCTGCCCTGACATGTTCCTGGCCAAGTTGTGAGCATGGGGGTGAGTGCGGGTGCTTCTAGCCGAGCCAGGCCAAATCTAAAGCTGTTTGCGGTACCTGATTTTCTGGATGCTTCTCTGTACAGCTCTGGCTTTCACTGCGTTTGACAGTTGTGCAGTTGTGCCACAAAAAGCAAGACAAAAAAAACACAACTCAGACCCACCTGCCGCCTGCACCTTCCGTCCGTTGCCTTGGTGATGGCCATGGCCATCAAAGCAAATGGTATGAACTGGTCGACAAATTGATGGACGGCTTGGGCTAGATGTTGGCCGCTAGGTCTTGCTGCATCACTTCACACTTTCCATAGACCCGAGTTTGGGAGATCAGCCTATAGTCATACTGTCATAACCATATCACCCATTCTATACATAGATAGCTCAATGACAGCTTGAAGCATGCTCATCTGCCCTTCACGCATTTTTGGTCTGCCAGCGATAGCATTTCAACAAAATATTGCAGCTGACTCAACCTCAGCTCTCCAACAAGGCCCGGATTTGTCCCACCACGTTTCATTTTGTAATGCCTTTCTGAATGCTGTGTGCCAATCTTTGCCAAGAAGCCCTGCAGCTACAGGCCCCCGCAGATGCTTTGTCCCTCAATGTGAGATTTGTCACTGGAGCACATCTGGCTCTACCCCGTCCTGGAGCGAGTTTGCTAGAAGCTCCCACGAATTAAAGCTTGCAGAGAGTGGACGAAGCGAGGAACTTGTGGGATTTATACATATATATACTTAGATTTGGTACTGTCTCGAGAGCAAGCGTTCTGTGATAAGGTCATACGGCCATAAGAACCAAATATTCGAGAGCATGTACAACTGCCAAGCACCAGGTTGTGCATCTTCAAAGCCGTCTATTTTTCACGCCAAGAGCTCTATGGCAGCTTCAAGATCACCAGTTTCGTGCAAAGCCTCTTCGGCCGCAGCTTTGTCGAAGCCCATGGCTTCCAGCTGCCTAGGCTGGTGAAAGGATTACAAACAGAAAGAACCAATCCAAGAGTCGACGACATATAGTGAAGACAATATCTTGAAGTGCAAATATGTGAATAAGATTACAAGCTGTCCACTTGAATAAAGCTACAAGCTGTCCACTTGAGCAGCGCAAATCCTTTTGGTCCATTGAGTTACTTGGAAATCGGACGTTTGTCGCCACTTTGTGTCTCGGTTCAGGTGTTTGTCTCATACTTACATACATGCCTGCAACCTGGATCAGTCAGGAAGTGCCACAGTTCTGCGCTTTTCTTCTGTTCAGCCAGTCCCTGTCTCTGGCGAAACCTACACCTTGCTACATATCAAAGTCTGTCTCCCTTTGTCGTTCTTTGTTCGAAAACAAGACACTTCGAATCCAAGCCGCGCCAATGCATCATCGATACGGTGCTTTGCGGCATCTGTTGCAAGGCTCTGGCGGAACTCCTCGTCTTGCTCCTCAATCAGGCGGCGACGCTCCTGTGCATCCTCAGCGGCTTGAGAGGCCCGGAGAGCCCGTTGAAGCTGTGCTTCCTCATCCTGGCAGGGTCAAATCGGAAGAAAATGGAAGAAATACATTCGAAGGGCAGGGAATTGGATCATACTCTTTGCTTCGCTATTGCACAAAGTTGCTTTATGGGCCGGTGTCAGTAGAGAGCGAAATAACTTTCGAAAACAAGTCCTCAGGCTCCTGTACAACAACAGGCCCACTGCCCATCAAGCTATTGATAGCTTCCTCAAGGACTCTAGGTGCTTTCCTCTCTGCTCCAACTTCTGCAGCGCTAAAGTCTTTGTAGTCGTTGGCCATTGCACTGGCAATTGCCAGCGGTGCCTCACTCCAGGATCGTCGGACGGCCATGAGCTCTTGCTCAAAAAAGGGAGGACTCACACATCTGCACGAGGCGACCAGTGCAAGCATGTAGCCACCTCAGCATCTTCTCACTCCGGAAAAATGTAGCACATCGCTGTACAAAGGCGTCGGAGACTAATGCATGCGCCAGGAAGTGCTGCTGGTGTAAAATATGTGTTTCTCCCTTCAAAGGGCTCCTGTCCAGAAGCTCAGACCACGACAGCTTGCAAGGTGATCCGGAAGCTGAGGCATTCAGCGAAATGCCTAGGGTTTCTAAAATTGAGCGCAACGTCCGTGGGAAAAGCAGCATCGCTCGCATCAAGGCCAGGTGTGGCGGAGATGGGCCATCTTCAGTTGGCTGTAGCAACATCTTCTGCGGCGGAGTCGTTAAGTCCTGCACACTGATGGTGCTCAACGCGGCGGCTTCATCTTCATCCTTGATGGACCTACGAAGGTAATGAGCCAAAGCTGCCGAGTAGGCAAAGTTTGGCAAGCAAAAGTCCAGCCGCACAATGGTGTTATTGGGCAATGGACAAGGTGGATTGAGCTTCTCTGAGATTTCCAGCAAGACATCGTACTCTTCTGCTCGCAAGGCAAAGTAGTCCAAGTGAACGAGGGAGTGCGTCGGATCATTCGGCAGTGTCATTGCTAGGATCAACTTGCAGACTTCAAAAGCAGTGCGTGGCAGGCCTTGGGATGCCAGTGCCAACATGTATCCCCACAAAGTAGTGAACCAAGACCATCCTGGCCATGAAGGATCTTCAGCCAACTGCACACGAACCCGCGGCCAGCTGATGGAGCAGCAAGCTTCTCCTCTCAGCATCGGCACCTTGCAGCCAAGCAAAATGCAAATCCATTTCACTTGAACAGCCAAACAGGGGCTGAACGACAGCTCTGTTTAAAACCGATGATTACCTAGAGAAGTACCACGGTACTTCCAGGTACACGTCAGGACTTGAACCTTGGCGCCTGCGTCTCCTGAAAAGGAGAAAAAGCACCATCGAAACCGCACTCTGTGGCATAGACTGCACGGCGCAGAATTTGAAAAGCCTGTTGGTGCTCTCCACTCTGCCGGGCGATTTCAGAATAGACCAGAAGGCCTTCCACACAAAACGGGTACTCCATCAGGAAGTTATGAATCATTTGAGGATCATGTAGCATGGAGCATGCTGCAAACTCCAGCAAAACTTTGGAATGCTCAGGTGTTGTTTCAATTCGGAAGCACTGAGACTCATCAGGCACCATCTTGGCACATCCATCTGGTCTGGGCCAACCATCATCAGGGGTTGGCTCAACAAGGAAAAGTCGCCGATAGTGCAAGAAGCGACCCTGACTCAGGGAAGCTCTATGCTGGGTTGGCTTGTCCCAAATGCCAAACTCTGTTGGATCATGAACATCTGCACCATGTGCTTTACCATATTCATTTCCAAGTATCATACTTACCCAGTCCCCAGTAAGCCAAGCTACAGCCACCAAAGGTTCTATCTGGTTTGGTATCAAAAAAAAAGTCAAACGCCCTCTATTCGTTTGGGCCTGTGCAGTCAAGTAAAAGGGTTGGGAAGTGTCCACCCCTCTTTGAGGAGGGAAGCTGGAAACATGAAGAAACCTGATTTGCAACGATCTCAGGCCTCGTTGATCCCACGGAGCTTGATACCCTTTCGAGGTTCTTTGGTGCCCGGACTGAGAAGAGTTGTTTTTACCTTGAAGAGACGCCTACGCTCCCGGTCAGCATTGAAGAAAGGCTTCGCCAGCGCCAACACGCAGCTACTCCTTGGTATCAATTCAGGCAGCACAAGAACCCCTTGCGCCTTCCCTTCATACTGGTTCGGAAAATTGCTGCTCCAAAATGTGACCCCAGAATCATAGCTGGTGCTTGTCAGCACCTCTTGAATATGTTTTGGTTCCAACGACTGATTCTGGTAGACCTTGGAAGATTGGACGGGCAGCTCTCAGAAACCTTCTCTTGATAAATAAAAGCTGTTTGCAACTGATAGGCAGCTGTCAACAAAACTTATTCAAGGTGCCCTTCCTCTGCCAAGTGGGTGGAGTTAGCGCTTCTGCATTGTGCAGCTTGGGCAAGTGCTGCTTCCAGTACCGATTCCTCGCCTGCTCAATGCTGCCAAGTTGACAAGTTAAGTTTTACTAAGAGCGATGGCCTCCAACCTAAGAGCGATGGCCTCCAACCTAAG